TAGCCTAACATCTAAATATCAAAATTTCCCTTCTTAATATTAAAACATCATATTATCAAAATTAGTTTTTTTAAATAATTTTTATTAATTTATAATCACTGTTCATAAATTTATATCATTAAAATTGAAAGAAAACACTAAATGGACAATAATGTCCTTACCTTTTGAATGACAAAAATTTATTAAACACTATCAAATTTTCTTGTGGCACTTTTCTCACAAATTGTTACTTCGTTGTCACCACCTTTGGCTTACAATGAACACGAACCTCAACACCACTTTAGTCTTTAGCCATACCAGTTTCTACCTCCCTCCACCGTAAATTAGTCATAACATCCCCGCAAAGACTTATTTTGCTCTGTAGTTCCTATCTCTACGCCATCACCACCATTTCTTCGTTTATTCTTTGTTCGTTGTACTACTTCAACTCTTTCTACCACCGCAAATATCAAAGTGCCCTAAGAAAATCATGTTGTTAAAGACAATGTTGAAATTGAGTTTATTTTGCTTAATCAAACTAGAAATATGACAGTTTATTTTCCTTAAAATTGTAGGGAATTCCTTAACATTGTAGGATATTAGATTCAGGTTATTTAATGATCATAAAGCAGTGAGTTTTATTCATGGTGTTGTTTTCATGTTTTGATGTTGCTTTATGAGTATCTAAATTCATTGCTTTAGACCTAGGTATTATCTTCCTGTATTTTGTATTGTTTGTAATTGGACAACCTCTGTTGATTAATGAAAAGCACAAGTATTTTGGATGAATTAATGTATGTCTCGTTATTACAAATTTTTATATTTTTTGAACTCATAAATGCATTACAAACACAAGTATTATGGACTTCTCATTATATCTTAGTACAAAATGATAGTATTAAAATTAGAATTTGATTTATAAGACATTATCATACTAATGAACACTTCAAATCACAATAAGCAAGTTTGCATAATTGCTTGTGAACTACAGAAAAACAAAATCTTGATTTATATGGCATTATCAAACTAATGAACACTTCAAACCACAATAAGCAAGTTTGCAGTAATTGCTTGCGAACTACAGAAAAACAAAATCTTGATTTATATGACATTATTGGAGACGCAACAATGTTCTCCCATATCAGTTTCGAGGTTTCTTCAACGGTAATATCTTATGTTTGGGAATTATCTGACAACATTGTTAACATTGGTTTGTATCCACACTGCAACATAATTTTAAGTCAACAATAAGAAAAAAAGATATAGATATAGAAACCATAAAAAAGCATTATGCAAAAGTAACAACAAACTTTTGATCTACAAACCCACAAATTGCAACAAACACACATCAAATTCTTTTTTTTTTTCTTTTCCGAATGAAATTTACAAAACAAAAAATGGACACTAGAAAGAATTTGCAAATTGCATTGATGTGGGGGCCTTCACCAATACAATGACTTCAATTCTTTGCACTTTAAGATTCTATGTGTAAATACACTAGTTTGAAGCATTCAAGATTCCATAGGTTCATGATCAAATATCTAATAGATTAAGATTCCAACATTCAAGATTCATTAACGAGGGGCTTCAAGCATTCAAGATTTAGTAGGCATAATCTCATGGTTGATTATGTTTCCAAAATGAAGGGCATATATGGAAACAAAATTTAAAAAAACATATTAAAGCAACCATACAGAAGTTTAAGATCAAGCACAAACATGAATTTCAACATATTCAAGTGGCAAAATTAATCAAAAGCATGAACATAGTCGGAGAAAGGGAATATAGGACTGCTTTGAGTTATATATACCATGTTGCATATTCTTGATTTCAAGAATGAAGGTGTGATATATAAGAGGAGGACGGCGAGGTTAGCACAGACGATCATGAAGAAGAGGGCCAGAAGAAAAATTAATCGTGTTTAATAAATTCTACCATTTAGAAGGCAGGGGCATTGTTGTCCATTTTATTGTTTTATTTTAATTTTAATGATTTAAGATTATATAAAATGATTATAAATTACTAAAAACCATTAAAAAAAATTGATTTGGGTAAATATGATATTTTAAATATTAAGAAGGGCAAGTTTAATATTTAGATGTTAGACTGAGCAAATGTGATATTTTGACGTTTAATAAGGGTATATACGAAATTCTCCCTATTTATTTATCCAAAATTTTAATTATACCTTAAAACAAACATGATATTATAGAATTACAAGTAACTAATGTGATTGGTGGGTCTTTTTGTGTATGCGTTTAAAGGGCTTAAGTGGTGGTAAAAAAGTTGAAACTTTAAATTAGATAATGGGCGTGTTTGACGTGGAGTATTTGAGAGCTTCTAGTTTCTAGCGTTTGACAAAACACACCATTTTGAACAAAAAATTTACTTTGACGCTACAAGCTTTTAGCATTTAATTTAAACAAAACGCCCAAACCTAAAAAACTATCTCATGTAGTATTTAATAAAATGTTACCAATACACGCTATCTGTTGGAAAGATTTTGATGTGATTGTCACTTGCAATAAGTTGAATATTGATTTAAATTTTCTAATAAACATTATCATAATGTTTCAGGTTGAAAAGATACCGAAGATTCAACAAGTGTTTGAAGAATCAGATGTTGGAGCACTTGAAGCTGACATGGAGCACCTGCTGTTGGCATGGATCACTTGCTGAAAGCTAGTTGGATCATCATGATCTCAGATGGCATATCTAGATCATATGTGGAGCATCAAGACACTGATGGATCATTTGGAATATTGATGGCTCATCAGAAACATTGTTGACTCATCCACAACTCTATGACTCAACAAGAGTTGATGGCTCAACAAGAATACTTGGTGGCTCAACTCAAGTCAATGGATCAACATGATCACATCATTGATGGCTCAACAAGGTTGCACATGGCACATCATGTATAATGAAGGCACGTCCAAATGCTCAAAGGAACATGAATTTTGTCCATGACCCATCATGAACATGTGGTGGTACATCTTCAAGTTCAAGACACAATCCAACATTCAAGAAACTACTCAACTTGGTCAACAACACTTCTGGAAGTTGATGACATATAAAAAGACAATTGAACAACATGATGCTCATGTTGATCATCACTTTTTCAATGTTGATCAAGAAGGTTCAAGAATTATGAAGACTCATAACTTGGATGGAACCCTAACAGAATACTAACGGAAATGGAATATTCCATCCATTATCCGTTAAGTAGGGCAAATGTGTCAAATGATGACTTAGTCATGATGACGTGTCAACACCTGATTGGTCAAGCCATGTCATGGGCTTTTCCAAAGCCTATAAATAGGCCCATTGGGATCCATTATAAAGTTACTCTTCCTTTTGCTTATTTTAGATAATTCTGCACAATTGTTGTTTAGATTATTAGTCTTCAGAGAGCCATTTGAGTGTTTTAGCTTGTCTATCATTCAAACACTTGTAACTAAATCTTGATGAATATGAGACACTTTTGAATCATTGATCTTGAACATATAAAAAAACGTTTTTATCATTAACTTTGTGATTCACAGCTCTTTATTTTCCGCATTACTTGCCACTTGACGATTCTAAAACTCTGTTTCAGTATTTTCAACACTTGGACTACTCTAGTCTAGGTTTACTGAATTTTTCTCAATTTCTTCACTATCAGCTAGTTTTGTCAGACACACCCAATAACTGTCACATGTTAGGAGAATCATAAGTGATTTGCTACAATTTTCATGGCACCTCGCAACCCATTTTGATGTATACATTTGTACCTTTTGCTAGACGTAAATCTTGTGCGAAAAGTAATCCGATATCACAATAAAATGAATCATTTAGAAACTTTGACTCGATGCCAAACGTGCGACGGCATTGACTACTGCTTAAACGTGTAGATTGTTTTTGAATGAAAAACATAAGAAAATTGTAAGCCTTAATAAAATGTTATTTGTAAAGCATATCAAACACTTATTTAAAATAAAGATATTTTTGAAAATTAGCATTAGAAATAGGAGCTATTATATAACTAATTTTGGGCCAATTGGAGAATGATCGGATCTATTTCGGATTTGTTCAAAAATAATTTAAATTAAAAATATATTTGCTCATAAAAATATATACTTCAGATTCTAAAAAAAATATTCTAAAAGCAAAACCCGTAATTTGATCAACAAAATTAAAGAAAGTCAACCGGTCAACGTTTTTCTACATTGGTGGATTCTAGAAAGTTCACGGCTAAATAAGACGAGTGCAGTTGTGTGTCTGTCTCATAAATTCTTCCCCAAGTTTTGTTATTTCTCTGATTCTCTCCCACTCGTCACGTTTCAGGTAAGAGCTTTCTCTATACTAATTCATCTTCTTCTCGCGAAGAATATACCGAATTTCCTTATTATTATCCTAATATCACCGCAATGATCGAATCTTGAGTTATCTTCAATGCTATGCACTTCAATTGTGACTGACATGTAACAGTTTTATGTATATTATGATGTATCTGATGCATGCGATTCTTCTACGATTTGTTGTTTTTTTTTTCGGTGTTTAACTATCTAAAATATATTTGCAATTTGTTATGGAGTGGCATAAGGTTAGATTTAGTGTGTTTTGAATGCATGGTGATCTCTCGGGGAGAGAGGCTTTTTGATGGAAAGGCATAGATTGAGTTAGCACATTTAACATTCTGATAAGCTTCAAGGCTAGATTTTTTTTCATTTTGACAAAAAGACAGGAAAAGAAAGCAGATTTGCTTTAGTTATTCTTTATTAGATTCGTTTTACAAACGGTTTCGGGGTTACAGGTTACTTGCAATCTGCAAATGATTTAAGGAAGCAGAATTAAAACCTTGTAATCATTGTTGATATAATCATGACTTGATTTGGCAACATTTTTATTTTATGTTTCTTCTTATCTTTGCTGATTGCTGCTTTTTTTCTTCTACAGTTGTCCATTGTTCAGCTTAACAGAGACCCTGCAGACTAGGCATTGTAGCTTTTGAAACTTGAGTTTCTGTTTGATTGTGAAAGATGGCAGAGGTATGAGGCTATAAGTACTCACTAAAAAATCTTATGCCATATCATGCTTTGATTAGTTCTATTTCATTGTTAACCATTTGTAAACTTCATCTATAGGAGGGTCACAAGGTGAGTTTACATGTGTATGACCTAAGCCATGGGCTAGCTCGTCAGCTTTCCATGTCATTTTTGGGAAAAACTATCGAGGCAATATGGTAAACAATCTCATTTTCTATTTTTTCATCATCAGATCATTATTCATTAGTTTAAGTGAACTGAGATTTGTTTTATATCAGGCACACAGGAGTAGTGGTATATGGTAGAGAGTATTATTATGGAAGGGGAATACAAGAGGTTGTGGCTGGAACAGCTCCATATGGAACTCCAATGAGAGTGGTGGATCTTGGTATCACTCATATCCCAAAAGATGTTTTTGAGATGTATTTACAGGAGATAACCCCTCGATACACAGCAGAAAGTTACAGTTTATTGGCACATAATTGTAATAACTTCAGTAGTGAAATCACACAGTTTTTGGTAGGCAACAACATTCCAGACTACATTCTTAACCTCCCCAATGAAGTCACAAGCAGTCCAATGGGTGCTCTTATTAGTAAGTTCCCCATCTTTCCCAAAAGTCTTCTTTATTTTGTTTATAAAAGGCATTTAAACATCTGTTTTTGGTATGAAGGTATATAAACAAATCAAGGAAAGTACGTTGCAAAAAAGTTGTTAACAAGTGGATGTGTTTTGCAGTGCCCATGATACAAAATCTAGAGACTACATTGAAGGCGGGTGCAGTCCCCCAAGCTCCCCAGTTCAGACAATCTTCAATAACAAACCAAGTCAACAGGTCAACAGAAACTGAAAGTAGTAAAATTCAAGCCTTAAAGGAGCAAACTAGTGGGAAACATGAAGATGCAAAGCCAAAAGTGGATCCTCTTGGAGATGCTAGAAGCAAGTTGCAGGAAGAAATCGGGAAGGAGTTTGCTGCAATCATGGCGACTGGAGCATTTCGTGCAAGTGAGGCGGCAGCTCTTGCAACTAAGAAGGTCATGCAAAAATATGGGCACATCCATATGAATGCTGCACAGAGCTGAAACTCAGGTTCCCCAATTCTTCACAAATAAAATGTACGTTTTGAATATTTCGTGGACGTTTTTAATTTAACAAAATTGATTTGAAAGTATGTTTCCCTTTTTGGTTAATAAATCAGTATACATATTCACAATCAAAAACCGACTCAAACAACTGAAATTTATGTTTGAAGATCTAACGCGTTGATCTTGAAGCCCTCGGTTTCTTTCCACCACCTGGTCTTGAACTCGTACCCCATTCCATGGCTTCCGCTACTGCTTTTTCCCGATCACTAGCGGATGCTTTTATTTTATTAGATGAAGGTCGAGATGCTTCGGTTGGACTTGGAGAATCGATTAGTTCTATTTTGTTGTCGTCGTTTCCCTCTCCGAGAAAAGTAAGCGCAGTGACTACGTCGCTGATCAAAGGGCGCACCGACGCGTCGTTGTTGACACACATGCCTGCGACGGCTACTGCCTGGTTGAAACCTTTCGCCGGATGGTTTCCTTTCAATAATGGATCCGCCAGTTCCTTTAGCCTCTGTGGATCCGTGAAAATTGGTTCCGCCTGTTCATAATTGTTCAACAGCCAATTTAACATAAAAAAAGAAAAAAAAAAAAAAATCAGCTCTAGGGTTTCCACGTGAGGGCTATATTAGTAATTAGATTTTTTTTTTTTTTTTTGGTAAAGTAAAGGAGCATTAAAATTTGATTAGTAATTAGTTAATTACCCAACAAACAAGATTTTGTTGTTCGTTTTTCCTTGTGGGATCGATGGCTCTTTTTCCGGTGATGAGTTCCAACAGAACAACTCCAAAACTATAGACATCAGATTTGACAGTTAATTGACCTGTTCGTTGATACTCAGGCGCACAGTATCCGTAAGTTCCCATCACTCGTGATGACACATGTGTTTTATCCCCAACGGGTCCAAGTTTTGCTAGCCCAAAATCCGAGAGCTTGGCATTGAAGTCTTGATCAAGCAAGATGTTGGAAGACTTCAAGTCACGGTAGATAACGGGAGGGTTAGCCTTGTCGTGCAAATATTCTAGACCTTTTGCAGCGTCTAATGCGATTTTCATCCTCGTGTACCAAGGAAGAGGCGCTTTCCCTCGCGGAAGATCTGAAATTTTGAAACAATTTTAATCCATCGTCAATTAGAGACAATGCGAATGTGAATTTCTTGGTAAAAAGGGTGTTATTGTCGTTTTACGTAAACAAATATTACCGAGTAGATGATCTTCCAGCGATCCCGCAGACATATATTCGTAGACTAGAAGTCTTTGATCGCCGTCTGCACAGTATCCTATTAGATTTACTAAATTCGGATGATGAAGAAGGCTCAACATCAAAACCTCCACTAGAAATTCACGGTTTCCTTGCAACCCGTTGCGATCCAATTGCTTCACGGCGACTTCCTAACCCACCGAAAAAGAATATACGTAATTAATTCCATTTGAATTAAAAAGACTATTTTAATATCATATTTGATATATTAATTAATTGTGAAAAGTCGACAGTCGATCCAACTTGTTTTGTTTTAAACTGAAGTTAATTACCTGGCCTGTTTTAGCGAGTTTTCCCTTGTAAACTCGGCCGAATCCACCTTCACCAATGAGGGAGTCTTGCCGGAAGTTCCTGGTGACAGCAGCCAACTCCCGGAAAGTGAAAGTTTGAGCTGCAATATTATTGTTTCCAGCTGCTGATTTGGTCGGAGGTTGGTTGTTAGCTACTTCATTGCTTGTTCTCTTTTGGGGAGAAACAGGCTTGGCTTCTGCTTCAACCCTTCGTTGGTTCACTGCACAAAAAAGTATTCAATAATGAGAATTTTATTGGACAATATGACAAAACTTACCAACTTTAATCAATATATGTGAAAATAAAATGAGTTAAATGGATAAAACTAAAAAGTTTAGCCCAAAAAGAAACAAATAATTTTAAAGTGGCACCAGATGTGATAAATGAGTGGGTTGGGTTGGGTTGGGTTGGGTTAAGTGTGGTTGTATTTTTGTATTTTTATCTAGAAACCAATTTATTGTACAAGTTGTGATAAAGGAAAACTTAATATATGATTATAAATTATAGATTATTTAAATATCACTTTATTTTTTAATAAAACATTAAGAAATTCTAAGTATTGGAAAAATGTTTGGGGAATTTAGACATTTGACCAGCATTATTTTTAATTCAATTTTTATAGCTTCACAATTTTGTTTTCCCATTACACAAAAAAATATAGCCTAAGTTGAGAAGAGTGGTGCTGGACATGCCAGACTCCTCAGCTCTAGCAAGAAAATAGTGAGTTTTCTAGTGTTGGATTACCAAGCCTGCATGCCGAGTTGACTCAGCTCCTGCCGAGCCCACTCTGTATAGCTTAAGTTGATTTAAACAAAAGATATAGATCATTACTTTTTATCAGAATTTTCGTGATCATATCTAACATGTGAAATTCTTATAAAAATATAAGAATTTATCAAACGACAAAACCGTGTTCAAAACCCGGAATCATTTTGACAAGTCTTTTAACATAGAAATTTGACATCATAAAATCGATCTTTGCCCATAATTTAGTGATCATGATCAAAATGTTATTTGTTGCTTTTCGAAATTCAAATTTTTGTTACAAAACGTAAATCACATTTGATGCTTTATCATGATCCTGCTTATAAGAAAAATACAGTAAATCTATGAAGATCGAACACCAATGTGATATTGTGAAATGAAATATTGATGGAAGCTATAAATTTCCCAAAAAAGTGAGGCTTACCTGACGGAGGCTGAGATACACGAGGAGGTGAATTGGGTACAATCGGGCCTCTCCCTCTTTGACCTCCAGCTCCGTGTCTCCTTGAGCTTCTTTTTTCTTTTGATGAAAAACACCCCATGCTTTTGGTTCCTTTCAAAACCCAAAATCGGAATAATGCATTACACTACCAAAATCCCTTAACCCTCCCATCAATTCTCAAAAAAAATAAAAGAGATGCAAACTTTTAACATCAACTTGTTCAAGGATCATGAAATCATTCAATCGTATTACACCCACGGGTTTAAAATTATTCTAAAAATGAATCAAATTTTCTGAGAGATATATGGAGTTTGAAAGAAATCAACAACTCCACATATCTTAACAATTGCAATTGGATTACACCTAAATTGAATTCACGATTGGGGAATTTGATTCAAAAAGTGTGTCAAAGGCATGGTTTCTGGGGAAAGAGATGAGAGAGAAAGAAAGCAATGGAGAATTTGAAGGGGAAGAGGAAAACGTGGGAACCATTTGCGAAGGTATTTTTACTAGTTTTTGACACATTTTTACTAGCTTTTGAAAATAAAATGGTGCTTGTATACTGTTAAAAGTATAGAAAAGGAAAAGTTATTCCTGGAAACAGATAACAAATTATGCTGAATTTACATTTTTAGAAGTGGTATAAGTGGTTAATGTCACAAAACACTTTTTTTTTTTGTTTTACAAAAACATGAAAAGCCATGTCAACTTATTTAAAAAAAAAAAGATAAAAGTAGGAGGTCGGTAATATTCAAACACTTGACCTTCTACGTTCCAATCGTTGTAGAATCAAGTGATTAATAAAGATAGAGAGAGTGCTGCCATACTTATTACATCAAAAGTGCTGCAACGTAGGCGATGTGTAACGTTCCAAAAATAAGACCAACAAAAATTCATTTTTAATTTTATAAAACAGTAATCTAAAACATTGTCATACAACTGGAAAAGACCAATGTATGTCACTACATCATATCATATCAGAGTAATTCTAAAAATGCGGAAAAAATTGGTGTGTGCTCTGCAATCATCCTAGATTCTTCCTTTTCGATCCTGAAATACCTGAAACATAAACTGAAAACTATAAACCTAATGGTTAGTGAGTTCCCCAAAATACCACATATCATGCACAAATTAACACATACTGGGCCCCCGCCCCACATCCCACTCGGCCTCGGGCCCTGCCAGACATCGAGCTTTGCTCGGATTACAAATCTGTCATTTATTAGGTCCACCTGACATTGGGCCCCGTCCGGTACACATAATAACATATAACATATAATCATGCTAACACATGCGATGATCACAAAACAATAGCATACAATACAGTCATCGGGTCTCGCCCGATATGTATGTAACACCCATAAAAATCATGCCAAATTTAAACTTTTTAAAACATTTAAAACCAATAGTTATTTCCAATTTGTTTTCAAAACAGTTCTATATCAGAGTATCCCAGAAACATAGTCATAAAATGTGAGAAGGTGTACGATCACGCCTTTGCCTTCCCGCGATCATTTGAGGTACCTAAAACTAAAACTGAAACTATAACCCGAAGTTTAGTGAGTTCCCCCAAAATACCGATACACAACAAATAGCACATATACAAATAACAACATGTACTGGATCCACAACTTCACAGACTGGATTACCCATGTGTCACACCCACAAACCTGAACGACGGAAACGTTCGGGGGCGGATGACGTCATATTCAGTATCACAACAATTGAATAGTAAAGTAAGTATACACCACCATAATATATATATATATATATATATATATATATATATATATATATATATATATATATATATATATATATATATATATATATATTGAAAAGTTTACATGATTGTATTTGTTACATGTTTGAATATCAAATACAATTTCGTGATCCAAAATATGTTACTAACGCCAACGCGTTAGTCTTCAAAAGTAGATGCTACCTGGTTTAGCGGTTTCCTAAGAATACAACTTATTTCAAAGAAAAAATGTCAACAATTAAGTTGGTGAGTTTATAAGTAGTGATTTGCGTAAATGTATGCCATTCAAAAGTTCGTGTATGTTCTCCAGAAAATCCGATATTTTCTTATAAGTGTATGAAATGAGTTATAAATCGTTATTTGCATGAAATGAATGTATTGAACCAGGAAAATCCCATATTTTCCTAAAAGTGAAAAACAGTCTTAAATGACCATGACTGTGACTTGGAATCAATATGCCATGCTTAAAATGATGATGCATAGTCTTATTATAAAACAAAACTACAAGAAGATCGTATTTGTATGTGATAATAACCGTAACAGTCACTTTTCCCGTAAAAACATAATACCATAATAATTGTCTATCCAGTGAGTTTTCATAACCGTACTATGATGAGTTTGCCTGAGCGACGTTCTTCAGGCGTCGAAACGATATGACACTTGTCACCCCGAGGACTATTGCTAATAGTCAGGGTGCGGGATCATCGGTCCCGTATAGATCCATACACACTTATCACGTTCTCCGGACGGGAGACTCTAGTTATAAACATGACTTTCTAGCGGTACCTTAATAGGTATAGTGAAGACAAATGACTCACGGATTCTCAATTAAGTCACGTATTAGAAATGAATATGTTTGTCTCTGAAATAATTACCCTTTTCTACAGTGTTGACAAAGGCAAAATAATGATTTGTATGTTCTTGCATGTTTACGAATGTTATAGTAAAAATGGTTATCCTTGATATGAAGCAAACAAATAAATAAAACTTATAATATTTATAATTATGTTTCATCATGAGAGGGTAAAGTGGTGTAAGATGTTTGCATGTTAACCAAATCCATACGATAGTTATAAAAACAAATGAAATGTATAACAAAAGATTGATGTTTTCACAAGGGATTAATCATGAGTTTACTTGTATCCCCCCCGGTAAAGTGTTTAAAAGTATTTAAAATCAGTTAAAAGCGTGAAAATGGGGGTATGAACTCACCTGGTAGAAGTGGTGAATTGATGAAAACGATTCTTTGTCCGGGCAACACTTTGACTGGAGAAAGTTGATTTCTCGGAAATCTCGGGGGCGTTGGGATTTGCATCGAATGCTAGTGGTGATTCCGGGGCTTCGAGGTAGCTTAGAGGGGCTAAAGAGGTGTTTGATGGTGAAAGAGTTGAGAGAAAAGCAACCAAACCCGGAACCCTAGCCTCCCTTTTATAGTGCTGGGAGGCACTACAAATGCAAGGTGTTCATTTAGGGAACACAGGGCATTCCCACATACGTCACTGCTTATGAACTTCGGACTCGACAAGCGGATGGGACTGGGTCTAGGCTCCGAACGTGGGGCGTTCCCTCAGACCTACCTCGAAGTTTGCGCCCTGATCTTTGAAATTCCGTAACTTTCATGTATGAGCTCCATTTTTTACGCTCTTTATATCCACACGTAGGTAAGAATATGCTCTACAACTCTCGTATAGACTTCGTCGGCTAATTTTGACTTTATATTTTAATATTATATTTTTAACAGGCCGGGACTGGAAAAGTCTGTTAAAAATTCCATAACTTCTTCATCCGATGTTTGTTTTCATCTGTCTGTTAACTGTTGTATCAATATTCTCGAGATCTTCGATTCTCGTTTAGGTCGTTTTGGCTAAAAATCAATCAATCTCTATTTTAAGTTTTTAGCTGTCTACCGCTATATCCGAAACTTAGAAAAATCATAACTTTCTCATACGAAGTTAGATTTGGGCGTTCTTTTTATGTATGTTTACGGTTTAATGTTATCTATAACTCTCATTTAGATACTTAAGGCTAAAAAGTATTTTATTGAAATTTCGCATTTTACGTTTAACAGTGTTTTACCGGTTTTTTTTGCGGATCTTAGATTGGTCATAACTTCTTCGTTATAACTCGGATTTTTGTGTTCTTTATATTTATGAAAACCTTTTTACGATATCTACCACTTGGCACATCGCAATTATGGTTACTAAATAGTTTATTTTTGACCTAAATTTGACTAGTGTTACATTATCCCCCCAGTTAGAGAGAATTTCGTCCCGAAATTCGCATTTTGAATGGGTCATCGATGGTTGAGAAAAGGTGAGCGTACTTATGATCCATTAGTTCTTCTTGTTCTCTAGTGAATCCAACTCTTAGCGTGGGTGTTCCAGCGGACCTTCCTCATCCTGTTTGTTGTTTTGATCCTCATCGCTTGTGTGGATTTGGGTTTATTTATCTGCTCTACCTATCAACGCCTTGTGTATACGATTTGTATATAAGCTTTGTAGTGATAGGTTAACCGCATTCATTACTAGCCTCTGAGCTTGAACTTGACTCATTGCATGCGTGCTATTCCTAATACTATATCGGGAATACTTTGGGAAGGTTTCAAAGCTATAGTACTCCTCACATGAGTACTTCGGGATTTTTGAAACTAGAAACGATTTGGGAGTTGTGTCGGGTTTGTTGTTATAGATTTAAATAGGTTCTTTAGTCTGCGGTCAAAGCGAAGGGTTTTTAGGATATGCAATTGGTATGATGAGGACAAGGACAATCCATGATCGAATGATGATGTCAGAACTTCTTATTGTAATAGGTGTTAGGCCAATTAGGAGAAAGTGTCTGTTAGCGTGATAGTGCATTCTATGTGTATCTTTTTTTGTTTATCCTTGTTATTTCTACTACGAACATTGTACCTCGTTTAGCGACTACTAGTAGACGTGTGTTCTGATAATTGAATATGATGAATTTTCATAATATATACATACTAGACAAGGAACAAAAGATGAGGCGGAATCACTCACACTCAGCCTAAAAATCTTGATTAAAAAAAATAACCCTAAAGTACACACGAAACCCTCATATCTCACCTATAAGGTTTCTTAGTAAAAGTTGTGATTTTGTTCGAATGAAAGAGAAATCTAAAATTTCTTGGCAAAATTTTAGTGAAAATTGATGTAGAGTTATTGTTGTTTGGAAGGTAGCAAAATTCTTAATGGCGTTCCTTGTTTCTTTCTGTCTTGTTGCTTAAATTCTTCCTACTCCTCCGTTATTCATCCCTGTTGGACAATCTCGCTTTAAATGTCCTGTTTCACCACATGCATAACAAGTTCGCTTCGTTCCAACATTGGTGGTTGCAGTGATGTATTGGTCTGGAGTCCTACAGTGGCCGATGGTGTGTCCCTTTTTGTTGCACTTATTGCAATACATCTCCCAGCAGACTCCATTATGATGGTAGTTGCACTTGTTGCAGTGTGGAAGGTTTCCACGATATGGTGTTGTCGGTGTGGAGGTAATAGGGTATGTGGGGGTATGGACTGTTATTGTTGTTTGCTTTTTGGCATTTCTTCGAGTTGATCTTCCCACTCTCTTGCTACAGGGTTTTCGTTTCATGTTCTTAGGTTTGCACCTTAGGGCATTCTTGCAAGTAGTCACTTGTGGGTGCCTTCGATTGTTTCTTTGATTAGGATTGTTGACACCATTTCCTTCTCCACTTGAGTCGACGGAGTTTTTGTAGGCTATAATGGCTTCCATGAAGGCCATAATTGTAGCTTGT